GGCAAGAGGCAGGCCGACCGAGAAGGGCGCCCAGTCTTGCCCCTGCAGCAGCCTCTCCGCCTCACCGAGCACTTCTCTGCAACCAGCTTCAGCTCCTGTCCCCGGCAGTCAGTCAGTCCAGTCCCCTGGGCACCCAAGGGACCTCGAGATTTTACCTCCCTGTTCTCCTTACCAGCTCAGGCCTTCAAACTCTCCTGCACGGACTCCTCTCCTAGGCCTTTACCTCATCCTTCTGCCTCAATTTCCTCCCTCCCCATGGCCACCCCACCCTACCCCCTAGAGCCCACGGCGTGCCTCATCAGCGCGTCCTGCTCTATGTGCGTATAGAAAGGGTCAGGCTCTTCAGCGCGGCATTCAAGGACCCCATCGTCTGCTCTCAACAATTCTTTCAACCCTATTGCCCACTGTTTCTCCGCACACGCCCAATGTTCTAGCCAAACGCAAGAGAGTCTTCAAACACGTCCAACTAGACGGTCTTCGAACATCCTCATTACTTGCATCTCTGGGCCTTTTGCTCACGTAGTTTCATTATCTGCCTGGAAATCTCTTTGTCTTCTGCTCACATCCCTATTTATCCTGTGAGGTCCAGCTCAAATGCTACCTGTTCCACGAAGTTCTCCCTGATCCCCCCGCTGGAAGCCACCTCTCCCTTCTCAGAGCCCGGAACTGCGCTCCTCGCGAGCCCGTTCCTCTAACTGCATCAGAGGTTTGCATCCGTCCCCCGGCTCGGAGGGAGTTCTGCACCCCGACTGGCGGATGGGAATCCTGGTGCTGCTGCTTGTGAGCTCTGTGACCTTGGCCAAGCCTCTTAACCTCCCTCGTCTCAATTATTAAACAGGAACAATGGAAGTACAATTTCTTAGTGTTGCTTCGGCAATTAAATGACATAATACATTATACGCTTGTCATATCAAAAATGGTAATATTGATAAATGTTATTATCTCTCTTATTAACTGTGAGTTCCCTGAAGGCAGGTTGTGTCTCTGTTTATATTTATAACTACAATGTTTATATTTATAACTACAGCACTAGTGTGTGGTAAAGTACCTTAAACACAGTATGAACTCAGTGGACGTGTTCCGCGAATGAATAACTCATACACCCCAGTCTCATCATTCTATGATCAGGAGTTTATCACATGCCTACCACATACCAGGCACTGTGTTACACGCTAAGGACATACAATTGGGGAGGCACTTTACCTCCATTGTCATTTCATCTTCTCAGTAGCTGTATAAAGTCAGTATTCTCAAAACCCCGCTTTACAGATGAGAAAATCAAGGCCCAGAGGTTACGTCATCGGCCAGGGTCACAGAGCCAGGATGTGAGTTCGGGCCACAGCTTTTCCCACTGACCCCCCTCTCCCCCCGACACACACACACACTTTGTCTAGTCCAAGCTTTTCTTTGCCCCGGCTCTAAATATCAAGGGAGAATGCATTGTGAGGCCCTTTGCAAAGGCGTTTTTCTGCCTCTATATATTTGCTCTTTGGCCACCAAGAGCCCAAGTCTGTTCCCGCCATCTCTGCTCTGTCACGGTCTTTTCTCCTCCTTGTGTTGCCGTTGGGCCCCAGCCCTCCTCCCTATGCCAGAACCTCCTGAATGTGTGGCCACCAGTGGCTAGATTCTTGCCTCTAGGAATACCACGCTGTCCTGGGATGACCTTCCCTGGCCTGAAGGAAGTCCTTCTGCGGGTTCGCCCTCCCTCGGCTAGCGTGGGCCTTCCAAGAGCTGGCCTCCGTCAACCTCCTCCTCCTCCTCCAGGAAGCCTTCCCAGCCTGGCCGTACTCCATGAGCCCCCATCACTCAGCCTTCATGCGCTTCGTTTGCTCCGTACTGAGCTGAACTCACAGGAACGCCCTGCAAGCATCTTACATCTGCTTCCCCCGTGAGCTGTGTCTACCCCTTTGTTAGAAGCCCTCGAGGGAGCAGTATGTAAGGAACAGCTGGTTCCAAGGCCTTGTGTTCCAGGCAGGGCCCCTCTTTGGCGGTTGGAAGTGGGGGAGAGATGTGTTCCCTGCTGAGCAGTTGCGGCCCCCAAGCCCCTCATCCTAATGAAGAAGTGTGTCAGCTGCTGCTACTCTCCTGCCACATTTTGTCCCTGAAACCCGATCCCAGTTCCCTTCCAGGCAGGGCCAAAAGGCCAGCTCTCTAGACACGGACCATCAACGGAATTGAGCCAGGATCCTCAAACCTTCAGCCTCCCCGGCCGCCCCGTGCTCACTCATTACAGTGCAGACATTCTGCTTCAAGAAATTGGGGAATTCTGCCACTTTGGTTTTCAGGAACAGACTCTTCTTGTCTAGATTTTCTGGGCCAAGGACAGGGCCAGGGCGCAGGAGGGGAGCGCAGAACGCCCTCGACAGAGACCAGCTCACAGCCCGTCAATGCTCCCCTTTCCAGGCCTTTCCCCCGCAGAGTCTGCAGATGAGCACTTCTGGGAAGGAATTTAGTGGAATAAATGTCGAGCTTGACTGGTATGCCACAAGTGCCATTCCTGGGTACACACTGCAAAGCCAGTCCTCCTGGGCGGCAGGGAAGGTTCTGGCTGGGATGCATGCACACGTGTACGCACACACACGCACACACACCCGCAAACTCAGGACACAAACCGACTGTATGCCTTTCCTGCCTCATGGCAGACCTGAGGGACAAACAAGCCAACACTCTCCTATCTCAGCCACAGCTGGGCTGCACTGACTTCAATCTCCACGGCCCTTACAGAAGAAGCCACGGGCTGAGCGTGGGCTCACTCAGCTCTGCCTTCTCCTTCACTCCCATTGGGGAAACTGAGGCACTGAGCCTCGGCTTGGTGAACCAAGCACTGGGCTGAGGTGTCAGGGAGTGAACACGACTCTCATAGCTCTGCCTGTCACTCTGCTTGCCATCTCCTTTCTGGGCAGCTGGCAGAGGGGAGGGGGGGGAGCCCCGTGGGGGGTGGCGAGGGTGCGGAGCTCTCCCATCTGAGTGTCATTCTGGGCCCCAGGCCAGGCGTTTGGCTTCCTCTCCAAGAGAGTCAAAGGCTGGAACTGCTCAGACAAAGGGCCAAATGAAAGCTCAGGGGGAGCTGGGTGACTTCGGCCTCTCCCCTTCCTCTTCCTGGGGACTGGGGCTCCAGCCCTTGGCAAGAGAAGGTGCAAATCAAGACCTCGAGCTCAGCTCAGTGCAGATTCCTATTTGCCTTTTTTATTCTCCTGGCACCCACAGGCTCCGTCTTCCTCCCCTCACCGCCTCCCACCTAAGGTGCTGCAAAAAAATGCAAATCAGTAGGATTTTAAAATTCAAGCCCATGCCAGGAACACCCACAAACCCTCTATTAAGGCAGATCCTGAGGTGGGTGGTGTGGTCCCAGATTCCAAGCATAAAAAGAGGATTCTGTTAGATTCTTTTCTCAGCATGGGCCTTGGACTTCAGACATCATTTGTGCTGACCTTGACCTTTCTTTCTGCTATTGGACAAATGCATGGGAAAGGGCAGAACTGTGTCCAAGTGGGCGGGGCCAGCCATCCCAAACTGACCCGGGAGGTATGCAAAAACTTTGGGAGGGGACATGATGGAGACTCTTCTGTCCCTCAACCACAGACACATTTCTCTGGGTTACTTTGCCATCTATCACCACAAAAAAGGCCTTCAGGAGGAAGCATCAGAGAAGTGACCGTTGACCCAGCCGGGCAGGCCCTGCAGTGAGACCGACAGGAAGAGTGCCTGGCCCACTTGCCCAGGAAGTGCACTGAGGACACCTGCACCCCTCAGTGCCCACGCCCAGAGCTGGCCTCTGGCACAGCGGCCACGTCCCCTCCCCAGTGGGAAGTGTGGAGTCTGGGGAGCCACGGGCGGCTCTTTCTGGTCGAGGCCGGCTGTTGTGAGCCTGAGTGCCCCTGTCTCTGAAAAGTAAGAGGAGGAGGGGAGAAAAAGTGAGGCTAAGAAGTCCACTCCAAGTGACACGAACTAAAAGGGACAAAAAGAGGCAGAGGCGAAGGCACAAGAGAGGCTCTGGTGGACAGTCCGGCTGAATTCTGGTGGTTGAAGGAGCAGGGTGGCAGGTTGGGGCGGAGGGGTATGAAGTCGATGAGAATCCACCAGAGTTTTAGCAGCACCCTTCCCCTACCTGGGTACCCTCCTCCCCCACTGAGCTACTTCCAGGCCCAGCCCCTGCACCCACCCACGCCCCCGCACGCTCCCTCCGCACACCCCAAGCCCAGACCTGACATCTGGCTGAGCCTCCACAGCTCCCGCTCGCGATCTGCCAGGCGGGTCCCTCCTCCCCGCGGGGCCCTCCCTCGCCATTCCAGCTGCCAGCCCCCTCCCTGCTGGCAGACAAGTCCGGGCAGACAGCCGGCCCAGCGGGCCCCGCAGCCACGGCAGCTCTGCCAAGCCCGGCAGAGTTGGGGGCCCCAGGCGGTGCCAGCTCCCCTCGAGCGACCATCCCCGGCTGACCTCCTGCCCCGGGCAGGGTTCCGCCCTGCGCACCCTCCCCAGCGCCCCGACCGCCGCACGAACCCCCAATCGCCCAGAGCAGCCCGGCAGCCGGGCCCCTGCGTCCCGCTCTTTTCTTTCTTTTCTCTTTCCCTGTGTCTATGAGTTAGTTTGTTTTTGCTTAAAATCCCTTTACCTTTTACAATCCGTCCCCAACCGCGTCCCCCTCTTTCTGCACGGGTGCCTAGGTCCCACTCCGTCCGCGTGTCTGTCCGTCTCGGTGTGCGCCCTCTCCTCTCCGTAAGGGTCCCCGGGCACCTTTCCATCTGGGTTTGGTTAGCTCGGCCTCTGTCACTTGCTCGTGTGACCTCACTCACACACACACAATCTTTGCTTCAAGTTTCCTTGGGGCCCTTTACCCTCAGGACAGGCCCTGTCCTCTGCCCGCCGGTGCGCATCTCCCCTCTCCTCCCTGGCCTGCTTCCTCCCGCGCGCGTCCCGGCCCCCGGGGTCCGGCGGGGCCAGGTACAGATCGGAGGGAGCAGCCCCCCCACCCCCCGCCTCGACTCCCGCTCCTCTCTTACCAGCTCCTGTTTGAGGCGGCGCAAATAGCAGTCCATTTCCCCGCTCTCCTTTTTCATGCACCCATTCGCCGGGCTCGGCTCCACCAGAGAGTCCCGGGTGGGACTGAAACTGCGCGCTCCGCGAGCTGTTGGATCCCGAGACCCGCGCCTTTCGCAGCTCCGAGCGGAGCCTGCGGGACTTGAGCAGCTTTCCCTACTGCTGGCGGCGCGCGGCCCGCGCGGGGGGCGGAGGAAGGAGAGCACCAGCCTATGAGCGTTCAGCGGGGATGCCTTCAGCCAATCAGAAGAGCGCGCGGGGGGGGGTGCGGGCTGGGCACCCTCTGGTGGACCCCGCCTCTGGGGTGTACACCCGGCAGGGGCCGCTGCTCGTGGGGGGCTGGCCGGGGGACACCTGGTCCTGGCCCCCCCGGTGGGGGGCATAGTGACGCCAGACTGTACCGGCGCCCGCCAACAAAGCATATGAGCCCTGTTTGGTCATAATGAGAGAGCAGCGTCTCGCGGGGGGGGGCACTGGGTAGCGGCCTCAGAAAGAGGCTGAGTGCCTTAGTGTCAACTCCCTTTTGCCGAACTCCGATCAGAAAAGAAACACCCCCATCCGTCACCGCTCGGCAGCGCTTTTGCTTGTTTGTTTCCCCGGTGGTGGACTCAAAGGGGGGCTCTACCCCCACCTCCTAGTGTAGGGTCCCCCCAGCGCACGCCTTGCCGGTGGAGCAGGGGACCCGCCGCTCGGCCCTTTCACTAATTTACCACATTGAAGACTCAGCTGTCCTTTCGGCCAGGTTGTAGGTTGCAGGGACACCGAATGGGACAGGTAAGGTCTCTGCTCTCAAGAACTTACACGGGGGTGGGGGCGGGAGAAGGACGAGACAATTGCGTAAAAAGAAAACCCGATAATTTCAGGTAGTGATTCTTTATGAACGCATAAAACGGCGTCATGGTTGGAGGTGGGCAGGGAGTCGGGGAGCAGGCCTTTCTCGTTTCCAGGACCCAGGTGGCCTCAGTTACCCTAATGGGGAAGCGCTCTGTGAGGTTGGGGGAGGGAGGAGGACTCAGAGATGCTCGGATTCTAGTCAACAGGCACCGATGGGGGCCGCCGACGTGTGCGAGCTCCAGCCAGGCCCTGGGCGGTGGAGCCTCTGCCCAAGGACCCGGGAGGGGCCGCAGGCCGGCCCGCGCTCCTCCCAGCCGAGCTCGGATTCGCCCCGGCGGCCTCGGCGCGCGCCTAGACGCAGGTCCCTCCCCACCTCCAGCGCAGCGCCACCCAGCCTAGCCCGAGGGGGGCGGTGTGGCACGGCCCGAGAGTAATTAGGGCAATTAGCCACGTGTTGTTTCAAGGTAATTAATGAGGACAGTGTGCCACAGGCAGAATTTGGGGCCTCTGAGCGAGACAGAACCTCGAAGACCCCCGGAGGAGGCGCGAAGAGAGACTGCGGGCGCGGCGGTCATGCGGCCTCGCGTCAGCCAGGAGTGCCGCTTTTGCTTACTATTGGAAGGTGAGAGAGAGCGACGGAAGATGAAAATGAACATCTTTAGATGTGACAACTTTGCAGAGTCCGGTTGGATAGCCTCACGGGTCCTCAAATATAAGTGGACGTGCCCACGTGTTTTGGTCTAGCCTGGAGAGCCCCGTGGGGCCGCGGCGGGGACAGTGGAAGCTGAGGGATCCAGGAAAGAAGGAAGAGGCGCAGGTGGGTCACAACCCGGTCCGAAGTCGGTGTTTCGGTGGCCTCTTATCAAGCCCAGGTGCCTGCACTGCCTTTGAGGTCTCGTTTCAGGATCCCGCGTGGGTCAGAAAAACCGATACCCACGGGGTGGAGCTGAAGACCGGCGCTGGCATTACCGGTGCCCTATGGAAGAGCCTGAAATGACATTTATTCTGCTCTCCCGAAGGGCGCCCAGCTAGGGCCCCCTCGCCCTCTGGGTTCCTCGCAGCTCTGAGCCGAGGAGAGATCCGCCAGGGCCTCCTTTCCATGGGCCGCGCGGAGTGTCCTGAGTGGGAGCCGCCCCCAAGGATGGAGCAGCCGTCCTCAGCCCGCTGAACCAGTTCTGGAGTCGAATCCTCTGCTGTTGGGATAGAAATTGGAGCCTGGCCTTTTACATACACTCCACGAAGGAAGCCTTACACCCGAAGATCCCCAAGGGGGCTCCCCAAGCAGGAGGGCAGAGCCTCGCTCACTGTGGCGCTGAGTACAGGTGTGTGGGTCTGTGGCTGAATAGCCTTCGGAGGCCAGCTTAAGCCCTGGCTTTCTCCATCTCTGATTGCTCGGAACCGGAATCCTTTTGGAAGTGAGAGAGGCCATCGTCGAAGCTTCTAGAGGTACAGGCTGACCTCCTGGCAAAAACAGGTCTTCCAGACTCTTGGCCCACACACAGGATGACTTCGTGCAAGTGCTTTCCTTCCCCTGGCTTCAGTTTCCCTTGCTTATAGTTTAAACCTATGAGAATCTAACACTTTTATACTCCCCACAGAACTCTTACTTTGACAATGATCTGTGAAGCAGTCAGGACAAGAGGAATCTGTCTGAGAGATAAAGTATATGTCATCAGCCAAGCCAAATTGCATTCCATCCATCCACTTTTAAGCAGATGGCAAGAAAAAAAAAATAATCGATGACCATAATCTCAGTTCAGTGCTTGAAAGAGAGGTCCCAGACAAGTCAGAGGTGCTATTATGTGCAGTTCCTGTGGGACTTTGGAGGTCAATTACTGTCACGCTCTGAAGCCATTCCATAATGCTGGGCCATTGGCACCTTTCTTGCTAGCTACCCCCCCCCCCACTTCCAAAGAAGGTCAACATCATACCCAGCGTGTGGGGCGCTCCCTTCCCTTGTTTCTGAGACAGTCGTCTGGGGCAGAGCAGGAGGCAGGAGTAGGAAAAAGGCTGCCTTCTACTTTTCTCTCTCTTTTTAAACAGGGTGTAAGTGGTAGAGAATAAAGCCTGTTGCCATGGTTATATAAACATGGGTAAATATTCCAGGGCTGAGGATGGGGGGGCACCGGCCAGGATCCATTTTTGGTGTAGAGGAATCAAATGGTCAGCCTCCGCCCTCTTGTCCCCTCAGACCCCACTTTGAGGGGGGATGAGATTATCTCACTTGGAAATGAGGAATAAATCCAAGGTCTTGAGATTGGTTTTGAACATACTTCCCCAAAGCCCTCCAGAGCTGGGGTGGAGCCCTTAGTAGGCATGTCAGCATTTGCCCCCTGCTGGTGGGCATAAGGGATAAGGATCAGGAAGGTACTTTTCCTGAGGAGACAGTGCTGCTCCTGGAAACTGTGTCGCAGCGTGTCAAACTCTTGGGGTTTGCCCAGCCTACTCAGGGAAAATGGCCCTCCCTGTCCCGCTGCCAGAGCCTGAGGGTCCTGGCACCGAGGACTGAGCTCAAAGGGAGAGGCAGAACCAACTGTGTCCCAACAGAGCTCAGATCCTAAACTAAACAGTGGGAACATGGCCTTTCTGGTGCCAGACGCATGGCCCCCATCTGGAGCTCCCCAAGACCTAGGGAACCCTCAAAAAAAGGGTCCCCCAGGGGGGAAAGAATATCCATCTCATCTCCACTGGCAGCAGAAGGGCTGGGAGCTCAGCCTGGGGCAAGGAAAGACACTTGAAGCCACGGGCAGCCTGGAAACTTCAGCATCGCGTCACCCTCCCCAGGGCGGGGCCCGTGTCCCTACTGCCTCATGCCTCCACTCCGTGTGGCTGCCAGCAGCCATTACCCCAGCCCCCCTCTGGGCTCTCCCAGGCCACCTGAGCACCAACAGGGAAGGCTGACCCTGGAGGTGAACTTGTGCCTTTGGAATGTGCTCAGGGGGCAATCTGGAGCTGGTCTCTCCAGGTGGAGAACCTCGCCTGGCAAGCAGGCCCCGAGGGGCCGCGCAGAGCCTGAGAGTCTGAGTGTGAGCACTTTGTGAACATGTCGGGGCGGTTGGGGAGGGCCTGGCCTGAGGCCCAGTTCTTCTCGAAGGACTCTAATAAACTACTCAGTTCACGACATCGTCCTCTGTCCCTCTTAGAGAGAGGATGGGCTCCCTGCCGCCTAGAGTCCCAGCACCAGGGGAGGCTGCAGGGGGAAGAAGTGCCCTACATGTTGGGAGGCCTCCAGGTTCCAAATGAAAGATTCATTTTGGGTTTTTATTGAAAAGTCTTTTGACGAGGTAGATGTCTCAAAGACTTGTCAAAAAAAAAGAGCTCCTTAGCTTTCAGTGTCTTCAAACATAAAGTGCTGTCCTCCCTACTTACAGACAGAGCAACAGAGGCCCAAAGAGGTTGGTCTGTGTCTGATGCAGTGAGATCTCCCTGTTTCCCAGGTAACCCCGTTCCACTGCCCTAGTCTGCACACCGCAGGGTGACTGAGATGACAACGGCCACTGAGGGAGTGACTGTTGGCTCCCTGGACACCGCATCGCTGCCCCTTTTGCACACGGTACTTAGACATCACTCCCCCAGACTTGACTTCCTCACAAAGTCGCCCGGCTGCAAGACCAAGCTGTCAGTCATGCAGGAGCTAGAGCTTTTCGGAGGGGGACAGAAGGGAGGTGTTGGAGGAAGAAATGGCCATACAGTAAGCCCTTACTTGTCGTCGTCCATGGGTTCTACGACTTTAGCTGAATGACGTAAAAGGAAACTATTACCATCGGCCAATTGACATGAACAAGAGTTAAGTTCCTGTGGCATCTCATAAAACAACATTCAGGAAATGACGTTCTTCGAGGACCTGCTCTATAGTATTTTGAGAGAACTCTGTGCGTGAATGGGCTGTCTCATCTGAATAATTCAGAGGGAATTTTAAGTGCAAAATTAGATTCATCCAAATAATAAACAGTCTATGGGCTGCTGCCGAGCCCTATTTGGAATTAGTTGTCGCTGTGTGGCCTGGTGCTTACCATACCTAAGCAATGGTTTCCTTGCTTTTCGGGAAGGAAGTATTTTCATTTTGCAAACATTTGCTGGAAAAGCAAATATTTTTCAACTGCAAAACACTTGAAGAATGTCAAGGCACAGCTAACGGAAATACTTATGAAATTTGTGCAAACTGACGCTGGTATACTGCACTGACAAAGAAAGTGACTTGCTCAGCACTCTCCTGGGGA